TAATCCAAAGTGATGGTTATTACTTTTTTTTTCCCCTAAGTAGCTTTTTTTTCCCCCTTTTTTTTGTCCCTTCCAGTGCCTGACTTGTGTCCCTAATTAACACCTTAAGATGGGGGTGAGGATAACTGAGATACTTAAGGAGGACACTTCTGAGCAGAGCTTCTAATCTACTTCTCGGTGAGGGAGGGGACTCATTAGCAGGTGATTTAAGTGAGTAATAAGCCCATCAGCATGCAAATGGTTGTAGCTGGATGAAAGGCTTGGCTGAGGAGGGTGGGAGCTGCAGTTGGGTCACAATAGGATGTGAAGCCTTGCCCCCTCTGAGCATCTGGCAGGGGTGTCCCTCACCTCTCCAAATCCCAGGTCTGAATGATAGGGGTGAGCGAAGAGAAGCAGCTGTAGGTGAATGGATGGATATTGTGGAGCGGGCGAAGAGTTTTGCATGAGAAAGTGAGGCTTTGCCAGTCTAGGAAAAGCGGTTAAAGGAATCAACAAGGAGGCAGAGAAAGGTGATCCAGCTGATTGCAAAGGCCTTGGCAAGGAGCCTCACCAAAGGGGTGAAGCTGTTGCTGATGGAGAAAATAAAGGTTTTTGCCCTCCTTTGAAGTAACCGGAGAGTAAGCCTATGGGTACAAGCAGTTGTTGCTTGTGGTGGAAGGAGGCGACGATAGCCCAGAAGGATAAGTGTGGGACTTGTACTTTACAGTTCTAGTTAACTTTTTAATAACAATAACAATAATAATATCTATACAGAGTCAGGATAGGTAAATTTGGGGGAAAAAATCCCAGTAGTATACTAGGAAAATATTGCAGGACGATAAGGTAATATCAAGTGACTCCAGAAGCATATCTTATAGCAGAACGATGGAAAATAAAGGGTAAGGAGGAGAGGGCATACTCCCACAGAAGGAAAGGTTTGGCAGCTCTTCTCATCTGGAAAGGAGATGACTAAGGGAGGGTATGGGAGGTCTGTAAAGCTGTAAGCAATGCTGAGGAGGTGACAGAGTGGTTATTTTTGTTTCT